CAGGTAACACATTTCTAGATTTCAAGGCATTAAAAAATATATTTTAATCTCTAGGGAGTCTTGTTAGCTTCATGCAGATGTGGTGGGTGTAACAGAATGAATAGGGAAGTGGAAAGCAAGCACAATTATATGCTGCTTAAATAAATAAAAAAAAAAAAAACTATGTAATTCAAATGAGTGTAAATTTGTATTTCTTTTACCTATAGCATATTTATCTCAAGTGTATGAAAATATCTTAATATTTTAATGGGCTTTCTTTTTTAATAATCATGACTGTTCACTTTTGTCTTTATAAAGATACATTGTGCACAATGGTTGCATTCAAAATAATATCATGTACTACTCTTTTAAAGGAGGATGACAAAGTCAGTTCTGGTCAAAGTTTAAGAAAAACTGTTTTAAAAAAGAGAGTTGATGTTTGGACACTTCACTGACATGTAGAGAGCTCAAACTGAAAACCATCTTTGTTATCATATTGGGAATTATGTTATATGTTCATAAATGACTCCTAGTGACATTATGCCCATGAGTTGGAATTGACTCAATGGCAATGGGTGAGTTCATACATGATCAAAAGATCTGTTCCTCACAGAATTTTCAGTGAAACTTGTAAATCAATTGATAAACAAAAATAAGTATGGGATATCATTGTTGTTGTTAGGTGCCATTGAGTCGATTCCAACTAAAAGAAACCATGTGAAGAACAGAATGAAACACTGCCAGGTCCTGCATCACTCTCACAATCCTTGCTATGATTTACTCCATCCTTGCAGCCACTGTGTCAATCCATCTTGTTGAGGGTCTTCTCCATTTTTCTCTATTTTATCACGCATGGTATGCTTCTCTAGGGACTGATCCCTTCTGAAAATATGACCAAAGTAGGTGAGACGATGTCTGGCCATTGTCACTTCCAATGAGCATTCTCGCTGCACTTCCTCCAGGACATATTTGTTCATTCTTCTGACAGTCCATGGTATTTTCAGTATTCTTTACCACCATCATAATTCAGCTTTCCCATGCATCTGTGACAACTGAAAATACTGTGGCTTGCATTAGGCACACCTTAGTTTTCATGGTGCCATCTTTGCTTTTCAAAACTTTAAAGAGGTCTTTTGCTGAGAGTGAGGGATTGGTCTGAGAGATGGTAAAATAGAGAAACACAGAGATAGAGAGAGCAAGATGAAATCCATAAATTTCTTTCTGTTTTATTTGTTGTTTTTGTTAATTGTAGTGAAAATAAACTCTGCCATCGAGCCAGATCTGACTCATAGGGAACCCTCCTTGGGTTTCTGAGGTGGTATCTCTACAGAAGTAGATTGCCCAACCTTTCTTCCAAGGAGTGGCTGGTTGATTTGTACTGTTAGCAGTCAAATGCTTTAGGCAATATGCCACCAGAACTCCTGTAGTGAAAATATGCACACTAAAACATACAATTAATCAATTTATGCATTTATAGTTCAAAAGCATTGATTACATTCATTATATTGTGTAACCATTCTCAATATCCTTTTCCAAATTATTGCACTACCATTAACATAATCTCAATGCCCCTAAGCAAACCTCTCCTCCTTCCCCTCTCCCTCCTACCCTTCGTAATAAATGAATAATTTTTTGTTCTATATATCTGTTTAGTTCATTTAAGTGAAATCATACAGTATTTGTCTTCTTGTGACTGAGTTATTTCACTCAGCACAATGTTATCAAGGTTCATCTTTGTGACATGAACTAGGATGTTTTTTATGTTTTCGTAGTATTGCATGTGTTGATATGCCACCTTTTTCTTTTTATTCATTCATTTGTTAATGGATGACATAGTGGTTTTTTTTTGTTTGTTTGTTTGTTTTTTAATAACTTAAACTGAGAAATGGCATGCATGCAATCGTTTTTGTGTCATTTTATTTTTTACATATAGTGACCCTGGTACAATGTGACAGAGGACCATACAGGTTGTTAATACCAAGTGAGGTCATTGGGGGCCACTAGGAGGTTGACTATTATACAATTAAGTGTCAAGTTTGATACCAACTATCACATTTCCAAATGTGATGTGATACCTCTAATATGACAGTGCATCAAGTCTGAACGGTAAAGGAGAGGTTTTTCTTTTTTTTTTTTCTCATTTTTTAGGGGGTTGAAATAGCTATTAGAATCATTTCCCAGAATCTGAACTCAGAAGTTATATAATTAATTTTATAAATAAATGAAACATTGAGACAGGCTGGAAAGCATTTAGTTTGCTGCTGAGCAAAGTGAGACCCTTGGAAGTATGCCAGCTATTACATTGAAGGAAAAGTATCCATCAGGATCTAGGACTTCAGTTTCATTCGTTTGACATTGCTCTTTATTAAATATATTCCTCTACTTTGCAATAACATCACTGATTTCCATTTTTCCTTTGATGAAGGACAAAAATTTTAGGCTGCTCTTTCACTACTTTTTCTCCAGCCTCCTTGTTACCTAAGATACGATATATTCTAGAATTACAGTCTCAGAAATTTTCTCTTGTCACTCCACACAGTTTCCATCCATATGTTTGCAATTAAAAGAATAAAAACTCTAACCAATAACCCTATTAAGAAGTGTAGTATATGTTAATAAAGACCAATCAACCAAAGACAGCCTAGTTACTGAGTATATCTATTCAATTTATGTATTCTAGAACTATGGAAAAAACTGCAGAATGGGTGTGGGGACCGATTAGACCTAATGTGAGATGGATTTGACTAAAATGTCAGTGGCTCCCTGGCCTCCATAAATCCTTTATCTAACAGTTTGACCA